CGAATTCCTAGTAAGGTTGAGCATTTTAGCCAAATTTGTTGAGCCACGTTCCCTAAGGCCAAGACGTGATCTTGATCCTCATATCCCCCCTGCAAGCAACACATACACTTCGATACAATGGGGATACCCACTTTTCGAATGCTGTCATCCACCGAGAGACCTCCCTTCATGGCCAACCACATATTTAATGAAATCTTCTTTGGTAGAGTTGGGTGCCAAATCCATTCATGCCACTGTGATATATGCCCCTGACGTCTTGTATCTTCCCAAGCACTTTTTGTAGTAAATTGTCCATCCAAGCTTTTAGTCCAAACCAGTCTGTCTTTGCCTGTCTCGATTTTTCCCAGTGTAGCAAGAACCTCTCCCGCCTTATCTCTCCCAACAAGCTCCTCTATCAGATGTTCGTTCCACCCGTTGTCCGTTTTGAGATCTTTGATCAAGATTTTAGGCTGTTCAACCAAAAGCATCTGATCTCCCAAAGGATCCATATTTGACCATCTATCCCACCAAAATGATACACCACCCTCCTTCACTCGCCATCTAGACCGTGTAAGGATATCCGGCATGCAACTCATAACCATCTTCCAGAATCTTGACCCCTTAGTAGCATCCACTTGAGATATGTGTTTGTCCTTGATATATTTTGCCCTAAAAAATTTTGACCAAAGGGATGTTTCAGTTAAAATTTTCCAAGCAAATTTCATGTGTAAGGATACTCTCACTTCATGTAGACTACGAAGCCCAGCTCCTCCTTCTTTAACAGGCGTACAGACTTTGTCCCATGCGATCCATTTTCTCTTAGGCTTTCCATCCGCGTAGCCCCAGAAGAAATCACTAAATATTCTGTTAATAACTTTTAGAACCGAAGCTGGTGCTTTGAGACAAGAAAACAGATGAAGAGGCATACTAGTAAGGACATGCCTCAAAAGCAGAAGTCTGGCCCCTTTAGATAATACCCTACTTTGCCAGCCTGCCAATCTCATACGAATTTTCCCAACCACGTCCTCAAGATCTTGCGTTCTCAATCTTCCTGTGATGATAGGAATCCCTAAATATTTGAAAGGGAATTTACCTTCTGTGAATCCAGTGAGTCGTAAGAGCATCCGCCTTCTTGACGCAGTGATCCGTTTAGAGAAAATAATGGAGGTTTTATCAACACTAACAACTTGTCCCGACCATTCTTCATATTTTCGGAAGACCTCCTTAATAGATCGTAGAGATTTTTTCCCACCATTCGCGAATATTACAATGTCATCAGCATACAACAGATGAGAAATAAGGGGAGCCCCCCTAGGTAAAGAAAAAGATCTTATGCTGCCATCTTCATATTTAGCTCTCAACATTCTGGATAAAACTTCTTCTACAACAATAAAAAGATATGGAGATAGGGGATCCCCTTGCCTCAGGCCCCTTCCACCTTTGAAGAAACCCTTCATAGTTCCATTCATTACCACAGAATACCAAGGAGTAGTAATACATTGTCTAACCAAATCACAGATCTTGGAGGAGAAACCAAAAGACCTTAATACGTGCATAAGAAAGTCCCAATCCATAGTATCATATGCTTTGGCAATATCCACTTTTAAGACTACATTGCCACCCCTGGCCGGCTT